AAGAGTCGATTTTTTAGAGTTGTAGTTTCATGCATACACAAAACTTTAGTGTAATGGAATGTGTTTGTTTGTTCCAGTACTAAAAAATTGTTTCAGAATTATTACATAACGCATTATAAAAGTATACGATAGATACGCATGAAACTACAACTCTAAAGTATCAATTTAATGAATGACTAACATGAATTGATATCCAAAATAACATATACCCTGCAAAATATTTCTTTCTTCGCCATTAAAATAAAACGATTCAAGCATCTTTAGCCTTCGCCATATATATACAAAATTGTTCCTTCTTCTAAGAATGAATCTATTTTATTTTTCCAGCAAACCTACGGCAGTGGCAAATCGTATTCTTCATCCTGGCGGGAACATATGCCTTCGGAGCATTAATATATCTATTTTTGGGATCCGGAGAATTACAATCCTGGAATGATCCTGATTGTTGCAAAAATCTCAACGATGCACAAGCTCAACATCTTCAAGAAGCTTTACCATTGCAAAAGAAACAAACGATAACTCGCGATATTGAAACAGCGTGAAGAAATCCAGAACAGAAATTCAATAGGTAATTAGGTGAAAATGAATGGGTGATAATGAATGTAATCATTTTACATCAGTTATTTATGAGATGTACTGCAGATAAAGTTGCTGCCGATTGTGAGTAATCTAGTTTAATTATGGAAACTTTAAGGTAAAAACAATTATAGGCAATGGGTGCATTAAGACATGCAGAAAATAATTTCTGTACAAAGTTATTTTTAATAGGGAAGTAAAGAAATGTGATCTGAAGTAGCTTAACGACACTTTAATGAAGACAGTTAAGCATATAAGTAGTAAAAGCATCAACATATTTCAATTTTTTAAAAAATTCTAAAAATATAATTATTAAATTCGATTTCGTTCAATATAACGTTAAGTATTGCTATATTTTCCAACCAAATTTTTATATAATTTTACTACCAAAATATGAATTTCATAGAGAGTAAGTTTTATTATGTTTATTTTAGATCAACAAAATCAAAAATTTTGAATTATTATAATTAAATTTGTTTCTTTGCTCATTAAAAATGATCATTTTACCACTATCAAGGTGTGTCATATTGTCATTTCATGTATAAACGTATTTATGCAAATCTCAGGTAGGTTAAGATTGTGAATATTATAGTATCTATCGTAGATTTGAAGTAAGACGATCACAGCAGTATTTAAAGCAATTAGAATCTTATATTTAAAATATATACAATAAATTATTTTTCTAAATCAATCATACGCTCAATTAAACTATGAAATGCTACTAAATTCGTATTAAAAAGAACTCAAAAGATTTCCTAATGAAATTTGTTTGAAAATAATATAAAACTATAAATAAAATAAAGTAATATGAATTTTGTGAAGTGGCATTATTGGAATAATTTATATATAATTTTTAGCTGGTGTGCATAAGGCGTTGCAAAAGTAGCTCAAAAAATATTTGTCGCTGATTTTATTTGATGTTTTAATGTTTTAGATAATTTTATACTTTTCTATCAGATTTGTAAAACTTGTAAAAATAGTTCGATAAATACCATGACTGCATTTATCTGTAAATTTGATATTATTTTTAAATAAATGCTAAATTAATTTAAAGTATACTATATAAATAAATTATTAGGTTTAATAAGTTAATTAACGCGCAAATCATTTTTAAACATATAATGAGTTTCTTGGTGTAAATTTTATAAGCCAATTGTATATAATACTATTTTACAGTTAGATAATTCAACCAATTTATATTCCGTCACCAAAATCTATCACTTTCTTCGAATAAATTATTTTATAATATCACATCTTCGATATTTTTCAAAATTATCGTCTCAACAAAAGTTTCTTTGTATAGGGTGAATATAATTTAATAATCAGATTAAGTTCGAATAATAAAATTGTAAGTTTCATTATATCTATTAGTTAAGTAAAATATTATATATATTTTTCTTATTTTGTAAATAAAATACTCTTATTTTAAAAAAATTGTTTTATAAATAAGTTACAATAATATTGATTTATATTCTAAATGAATTTATTTTGAATGTGAGGTGAAGTGGAGAAAAGCTCATGAAAATTACTTTGCTTTGCAACTACAATAATTCTAGCGAATATCTATATCACAAACGTTTTATTTTTTTAATAAAATAGTAATATATATTCATTTAAATTCTTGAGAATACGGCAAGAACAATCTGTAAACCTTCCAATCAAGGCCTTAGTATAATTATATACAATCAAGTTCAGGCACAGTTATATGAGAAATACAGTTAACATCTGAATAGCATACAACAAATTTTATCCTTAAACATCATTAACAATTTAAACATGAATTATAATCTCAAAGAACTATCAATATTTAATGATCTTAGACCGTGCATAAAAATACAATCATTTAAATTATTTTATCATCATTTGACTAATGAAGTTGACTATTCTCGAAGCCAAAATCCTAAGCAGAAGCGTTTTGTGAAGAATTATTATCATTGAGTAAAACTATTGCTATTGAAATTTCCTAGATTTTATGCACTATATAAATTTCTATCTGGTAGTCTAAATTTTTTGATTAATTAAAACTATTCAAATTTAACTTTTCATTCCCTAATAAGCTATTATTTTAAAACTTTATCATGACATTGATCCAAATCAAATTGTTCGCTTCTGAGACAGATCATCAGGCAAGAGATAATTTTAAGGCTGAGTAATAGAAAGTGAATTACTACATCAAAGAAATTAGATGCCAACTACTTCATATTTATATGAAATTTTAATAAACCCTTATGTGCAGAATAATTTGCAGCGACTAAATAAAAAAATACGATCTAACTATTTTAATACACCTTTAAAACTTATTTAATCAAATGTTATGATCAACGATTATAATAAATATGACTTTTCTATTAAGTTTTCAAAAATATTTTGTTTAGTATCCTATCAGTTTTCTCACAAGAAAACACTTATATTTAAATTTGGACTATTAAAAATTTATTATTCCTCTAGGTGGATAGAACCAGATATTCAATTTAAAAATTAAATTTGTCAAATTTAAAGTAAATTAAAGAGTAAGTTCAGTATTATGTTTAAAGTAAAAAATGGTATTAGTAAGGTAGTTTTAAGTGTTCAATTTCTGTATCTACAAATCTATCTTTTTGTCTGCTGTTGTGCATTTTAAATATAAAAGGGATTAAAATACAGATATGGTTAATAAAATATAAATGAAAAGCTTTTATATTTACTTGGTTCAATCATGTCTGAATTCAATATGTTGACTCATTGCAGAGAATGCTTTTGTTAAGTTAAATCTAAATCGTCTGTAATTCAACGTATTATAATAAATATTATTTTAAATTCGTAACAATTTTCAAAATTTAAATTACCTACTCATGAAACTCAAACACACAAGATTTGAATTCACTAACGTTTATAATAATACTTAGTATTTAAAAATATTATTAATAAAAATAAATATTAAAATTTAAATTCTCAAAAAGGTTTAATTTGCCTACAATAAGAAATATGATTATCACTGTATTCAATCACATTCATAAAGTAGCAAAGTTTACCATTTTGTGAAAGTGTACAATATGGTGCATTTAAAGAATTCTATTCATCATAATACTTATATTAAAATTGTATTATTAAAAAACTAGTCAACGCTTATTTAATAGATTAAGAATAAAATCACAATCAATACTAAATTTAGACTCATCAGGTTGAAAGATATAAAACAATAAAAAAATTAAAAAGAAAACAATCGCAAATAAAATATTTTGGAAATTTCAGAAAATAAAGGTAAAATGCCAAAAAATCGTTTTAAGGAAAGGACTATATGGATCTATAATGCTAATAATATTAATGAGATCAATCTATAAAGTTCTGGTTAAACTTTTACGAAAACATTAGCAAAATCTTTAATAATTTAACGTTATATCTTTTAAATACTACTCATAAGATTTGTTGCAATATGATAATATACCAATAAATAAAATAAAGATAAAAATATATTCAAAATAATTTAAAAAAATAATAAAAACTTACTAATTAAGCTGTGTGACCTAACTTTATCAATTCACCGATCTTGTGGTATCCGTATAGAATGCAGTATCTTGCTTTGCTGAAATAAAAAAAAAGTTAAGATAATGAAATCATGACATATTCATAGCACAATTAATTTTATTCAATAAACTGCATTCACCTCATAAAGTTCTTCAGTATCTATAAACCTCGAACAGCCACAAGTTGATATTGGCGAGCACGCATAGCGGCAGGCCCCCTTCTTAAAAGTCTGAGAGCGGCCGCTTGGGCACTGCCACTGTTAGCATTTAATAATCCCGATATTTGACTTGGACCATGGCTTGGATCAAGTACTAGCAATGTTAAAGCACCACCACGTCGCTGCTCTATACCAATAATAGTCCTGGAATGGCCTATAGAAAATTATAATTAATTATTTATTTTGTAGGTCAGATATTAATTACCGGAAAATTAGTTGTCTTAATATGTATTAATTTAAATATTGCAAAATATTTAGCTAATGTAAAAAAGAAAATTCAAAACAGAAGTTGCGTAATGAATAACTGATAATAATAATATTGAAACCAATAAAAAAAATACAATTTTGACTTACCTTGGTGTTGCAAATATAAAGGTGGCACAAAATCTTGTGCATTTTCAAAATAGGACAAGACCCATTGAAACAATTCAGGATGATTACCATCTGTCGTTGTGTGAAAATCTATCAGCTGGCATTTGATTCTAAGCCACGACAATAGTGTAACAACCTATAATTAATTTTAAACTTAAAAGAAATTTGTAGATTATGCATGATATATTATATAGAAAATAAAATTATATTTAAATTTGCCTGTAATATCATTTTATTCATCCTACCTCTGTAGCACCAATCCACTTCCTAGTATTGTGTAGCTTACAACCTAATTGCTCTGAACCTTGAACATCAAACCCCTGAGCCCAAGCAGCTTCTACCATTCGTTGCAACCGTGAAATACTTGGGACAGCAGTGCGTGCTGGACCACTTCCGCCCCAAGCAGAGTATAATGCCTCATTATAAGCCGTATTCTAAAACACAAATATTAAAATATAGTTGGGTCTTATAAATTGAATATCATTTTCAACATAAACATTTACCTGAAGTAATGAGGATAATAACATTTGCAAATTTCTATATCCACAGCCCCATCCTCTATCACCGTAACTTGATGCATAGTGATCGGCCGCAGAACAAATAAATGTTCTTAAAACACGTGGACTAACTGCACTCAGTGCTTTAACTTTGCTTGCAATTCCTGAAAAAATAAGGATAATAATTGATATATAATTTTCAATAATTACTATATATAATAAAATAGAAAGAGTCTAGCAAAGTCTTTCTCAAATTTATTTCAATGCATGTAACAACAAAGATATTTTGCAATACAGATATAAAACATTTATGTGTAACTAATTACCTTTTGTACACGAGCTGCCATCATCTATTCCATGACTTTCTGCTGCTCTTAAGCCAACCTAAAAATACCCAGCATTTAAATATATGAAATACATATTTAAATAAATTATATTAGACATCTAAATATTAATTAATGACCTGTCTTTCATAATAATCAGCAACACTCATCTCTCCCGCATACACAGCTCTTTGCATAGCTGCAGCAGATTGCTCTCGAAAATTACCATGATCATCCATTCCATATTGGGCCTGGAGAAATATAAAATGCAAAATGTAAGAAGAAATATAATATATAGCATTATATTTTCAAATATAACTCATTTATTACCCTTAACATTTGAAATTCTCTCTGTTCCTGCATTTTTCGCACTTCTTTATCAAAAACAGGTGCAGCTTGAGCTCCTTGTGGACTTTTAGGAAAGTGACTTTCAATGTGCCTATTCTATAAATATTAAACAAGTCAGTATAGAAGTCTAAGGATAATGAATTTAGTATTTAATGAAATTTACAATATCATCCTGTAGCATATCAGAGAGACTGATACCACACATGGGACAATCATCTGAACTTGAACACTGGTTATCTGATTTGTCTAAAAGCACTGCCGGAGGGACGTTAGATTTAACTCCATTCTAAAAAAGTGGAAATATAAAAATTATTCACAATAAAATTGAAAGAAAAAATTGAAATTGGTGAGAAAAGATAATTGAATTAATCGCAAGAATATCTAGTAAACTTTTCTCTATTATTAAATCATTTCAAAACAGTATGTAACAATTGAATATGAAATAATAATAAGTAATGATCATGACTTACTGTTTCAGGACTCAAAATGTCTCTATGCTCAATATTAACATGAAGTTCGAGGTCTGGTCCAGTTCCAAAAACCCTTGTGCACAACGGGCATTGAAGGCCTGTAGTGCCATTAGTACCAGATTGATTGTTTGATGAATTTGGAACAATTGATGGTGAAACTGGATCAAAATGAATTCTAAAATGAATAACATCTATTAACATAAACTTCTAAACTTGTGGCTGAATCACTTGTATGAGGGCATATTGGACACTATAAGAAATATATATAAAGTATTCATTTGTAAAAATTTTAGAAATTAATTATATTTATTTATACCTGATGAATATTTTGATTATTGTGATGACTCTTCAACTTCAAACCCAGTTGAGTCCTTAAAGGAGATCCTTGCCCAGCAGAACCATTCTTATTATAATGTGTTTCATCACTCAAACCGTTTTCTTTATGTTCTAATGAGTGTCTACTTGTTTTACTTTTTGTCCCATTACAATGATTCTTATCTTCTCTTATATTTATATTTGTATTTTTATTGGAAGATATATTTGAATTAGATTTTGGTGACTTAGAATCTCTATGAATAACACCATTGCTTTTTCCATAGTTATTCACGTTGGAGCTTTTATGATTATCTGGAGACACTCGTGCATTTATATTAAAATTTGATGAACTTGAATTATGTTTTGTTTTTCCGTTGCATGTGATTTCATTAACAGATTGTGTTGACCTATTATTAAATTTTACATTACCACTTTCAGAATTAGTTCTATGTCCCTCTAAAGAATAATTAGATCTTTTTTCATGTGCACTGTTAGAAAGTCCATTCAAACTTGCATATTGATTGATATTAGATTTAGAGTTGTTCCGTTGTGACCAGGATTCATTCATTGATGGTGAGTTGCCACGACATTCAGATAACGTATCTGAATCATCATCAACACTATAAACAATAAACAAATATGATCATTTCATATAAAACAACATGCATTTTAAAATTAATTTAAAGTGGGCATATTAGTACACTTTCCTTAGTTTAATTATAATATCATCATAAACTAAAATACTGTACTGCAGTATTTTCAAAGAATTATATACTATAAATAATCAAATTGGGTTTTGGTTTTATAACAAACCATACATTTAAAAACATAGACTCTATGAATACTCTAGCTTGTACAAAAATTATAATATGTTTTTGACATAGAATTATATATTTTTAATGTTTACCTAGGACTTTGATCATCAATAAAAGACATTGCTTCATTTTCTGGTGTCAAATAATCCAAATGAACTTGATTTACATGCAAAAGTAATTCAGATGGTGAGACTCCCCACATTCCACAAAAAGGGCAAGCAGCTCTTCCCTCAACATGACACGAGACAGTGTGTGCCCTCATTTTATCATCTGATAAACCAGAAAGGCCACATATCTCACAACAGTGAGCCCCTGCACCTTCTTCTGCCATTTGATCTGAATAATTAACTTTGTTATGAAAATGTTATGTAGATTTCAATAATATAATATGAATTGAAATTTTACCTTCTTGATTATCCATTTTTTTAAGAATGCAGATTCAATTTACTTAGACATTGTTGAAGCACTATAGATTTTTTTAAGCACCTTAAAGGACATATTAACTAAAGTTATTTAAACCTTCAAACTTACACAATAATTATAATTAATGGAGGTTAGATCGATAAAACTTCCGCAATAACTAGAATGCAAGACGACCACGAACAAGGTCACACGTAAAAAATTTAAAAATAAGAGAGATGTTTGAACACAAAAGATTTAAAATGTTAATTATGATAAATTACCGTACGGTATTTGTTTAATGTTAAAATATAAATAAATCATAAGACCAGCTGATTTAATTTGGCTGTCAGTTTTCATATGAGAGGGAATGACATTTTCAACCAACTCTGTTCTGTCAATAGAAAAGCTACGTTATTCGAAAGGGTTAAAAGATGTTGTAAGCTGTTTGTTTATATATAATATTTATTGACTTAGATTTATAAATTATCTCATAAGTACATAATAGTATCTAATAGATTAACTACAATTAAATTATATGTTAAATCCCATTTTTCTCATGCAAACTTTATGTGCTTCTATCAAAGGGCCACAATTTTCTTCTCCTTTTTCTACAATACTGAAAATTGTAAAAAAATTGTTATATTTTAAATACATAATTAGGTATTGATAATAAGAATGAAGAACTTGCCATGCATCCCGAGCTTTTTTTGTTTCTGGACAGGCACAACAAGCTTTGCATTTTGGTTTGCCTACGTTTTCTACTACAAGTAAATCTGGACTAGATGAAATTTCTGTTGGTTTTGCATTTGAATTACCCATTACTCTCAGTTATTTGTTAATTTATACTATCTTATAATTAATTATATTAAATGACGTAACTCAATTTTGTCTGACATTATACATATTTTAGGTTATGTTATTTGAAGTTTGTGTAATTGCAAGAATCGCAGCGTGAACTTAGCAGATTTTTGACTAAAATGTAAACAGTATAGCAAACCTAATAAAAATTATGAAAATTTAAAAATTCAAAATTTAATTATTTCTAATCTAATCTAATTAAATAATTCGTCTAATTAAATAGTTCGACATTTCTAGATAACTTTTCTTCTAAATTATCTTTTTTTGTAATGTTTCACAAAATCTCAACTTTCTACTATCATAGAATGAACAGTTTGTTTCTCAAGTAATTTTAAATAAAATTTAAATGTATCAAGATTTATAAGGCTTTGTATTATTCTTTAAAATTCCTTATATGGTTAACAACTATATTTTCATTAATAATTAAAAATTATTTAATGATCTTGATGAAATATAGCCATAAATAAACAAGTATAAATATATAGTATAGAGCAATAAATATAATTAATATTAAACATACATTTTTGTAGAAATTGTTAAATTTTTATTTTTTTAATCATTTTCAACATAATAAAAAATTATAAATACACTTACATCATTTCATGATAGTCACAATAATTACAATTATATTTCTTAAAATTCGAAAACTTAAATCATTTCGAACTTTCGTCTTACATAATCATAACTAGAGTGCATCATAGATTATATAAAATTACATTATTTTTATATTTAAATTCTAGCCGGAAACTTGAGAGAGGCATTGATCAAAAGTTCCTTTGTATTTATCTGGCAGTGGTCCTCGGCATCCAAATCCTCCTAACTTGTGAATAGCCATATGATCGTAGCAGTTGATAACTCCATCACCATTGCAATCCTAGGTAAAATAGTTAAGTTAAATATATGATTTTCCAATTGTATATAACTATTTATTTCAATGCAATATAAAAAACAGATTTATGGTGTGAATTATAATTTGTCATAAAATGTGCAATATTCTTTAAGAAGAGCTATCCCAAATAACCTACCTGTCCGTATTTCAGCATATATCCTTGAATGGTGCTAGCAGCGCAGTAAGGATCATTTACACAATTAGAATATGCTGAAAAAATGCATTAAATAATTTTAATAATTACTAAAGTTAATTTTTCATTTGTGAATGTTATTTAAAATGTTTCATACCTTGTGGAGAGTCAGGACTATCTCCACCGAGCGTGTTTTTGCCACCATCAGCCCAGTAAGCCCAAGTTATGTGGAAAAGGCCGCAAACATCTCCATTGCAGGTTAAGGTCCTGTTGCAGCCACTGATGGCCTCGCAAATGCAGCCCAAGCATATTTCCGTCACTGGTTTGTCGGATTGTGCTGTAAAAAGAAATAAATAAAAATATTTGGAGATTTTCTTTTATTATTTTTCAACATCAATGAGAACTTGATAAACCTACTTATTATATGAGAGATTGATAAAAGCTACAAAGTTGCTTTATAGGAGTCAATCTCCCATCTCTATATTTGTATTATTAAAATTTCTTTAACGCTGGGAAGGCATTTTCACTTGTAAACATAATTAGATATATACAAGTAAAAAATATAGCTATTGCTTGACATCAGGCTGGCCGAGATGAGAATTGAATTTGGAAATATTTCTCTGTGGTTCCAAAGCTCTAACCACTGAGACGTTTCAAGATTTTGAGATATTTGGTCAAGAAATTATCTATTATTAATTAAATCAGGATAGACCTAAGGGCCACACCTACTAGCCCAATTTATGACAAAAGCTATCAAAAACAAGCAAGAGATTTTTTAATTAATAATTTATGATTATATATAAACATTCATATGATTTTATTTTCCTGAACTAAAAGTAAGAATTAATCCCAGAAATGCAAATCAAAGTAAATGCAAATGTGTTGTTCGATTAAATAATACTCCACAGAATGTGTATATGAATCAATAATATTTGATTATAAAATTCTTGTTATTGTTACATACAGTCAAACAAGCGAAATATTTCATTGTAACATGAATATTTCTCTTTAAAAACAATAATAAATTGACGCTCTTACTTCGACCAACACTGCAAAACATTAGTCATATGGGAAAATATTTAATTTTAATTCAGAATCTGTTCATTATAATGCATATATTTGAGAAGTGTATATATGTGTTTCATAAAATGTATCCATATCTTAACAATGGATTTCAACAAACAATTCAACTCAATTTAGCAAATACTATTTTAATAAATATATGATTGAAGATTTAATTTTGTATTATACAAGAATTGCATTGTTAAATGAAATTCTTTTTGAAATAAAGGTAATAATTAAAACAGTAATTTAATAAAATAGTTAATGATGTAATAAAGTTAAAACAAAGTCAAAATTATATTCAAAAATTGATTCAAATGTATTAATTATTAACTGTATTAAATGTATTAAATGTATTATATGTGTGTGTGTGTGTGTGTATTTATATATTGTGCAATTTTTTGAAAGTTACAATTATTACTTATTCGAAAATTCTTGTAAGGATGTTTACCTTAAAAATATATCTTGAGAAAAATAAATATAATGAATAAATAAGAAGCTATAAATACACAAGCAAATACAATTAAAAAACACTCTCATTTTTACAAAATCTACTTTACGCAAATATTTTTCTCCTTATTGCATTTTGTTGTCAGATAAATTTAACTGAGAGTTGATCATGAATTTAAATTTGCCTCGCCCTCGTGTCGATCCGATTTTGCATGTGAATAAATATATTTACATAATTTAAATATACGAGACTAGAATTGTTGAATCTTACAAAATTAACACATCGAATTAATCCGTTATTGATAGCTATAAACCGTTAGTTTAGCTTTTTATTACTACCGAATTTATGTACGAAATTTATAAAACCAAAACTAGTTTATAAGTTAAAATTTATTGGACAACTAGCTTCTCAATGAGATGGAATTATGGTTTCGCAACAGCAAAAAGACAATTAGCGGTTAACTCTATTTTCACCTGAATAAGAAGACTACTCCACTAGATCTATTAGGTAATTTTCTTTTTTTAACATAAACAGTATAAAAACTTCATCTTTTCGTATAAATATTTGAAAAACCAAACAATTTAACTTATGTTTGATTGTCTATATCAAAATACTAGATATGGTTTTTCATCAGAGCAAAAAAGATTTGCTAGGTAAATTTTTTCGGAACTCCTCTTATTTACATTTTAAGCTCAAAATTCCTTAATGTTTGTTAAAGACGAACTGTAATTTAGAAAATGAAAAAGGGCAATTACTGTATATTATATAGTAGAAAAAGGGCAATTACAGAATATCTATAAAAAATGTATTATGTTTCTTTATTCCACAATAACAAACAAAGAAATCGACTAAAGGTAATATATGCAAGGTTTAATCCGCTGGGTCAATACCAAAACATCAAAAATGTCCCTGATGCGTATTGAATTATTATTATATTTTTTTACAAAGAATACTTCCAAAGCAATGGTCGTTTATTCAAAAACTTGTTCTTCAGCATTGAGTTTATTTATAGAAGTGAGCCATCGCCCGCAGTATTAAAGCACCTTGTTTAATCAAACAGCCTCATCGAAAATAAAATAAAAGAATTGTTACTTCAAATTCTGGGAATCTTATATGTCAAATTCAATTACGACTATGTTAATATTATGACAACAATGTGATATTAAAATTAATCACTGTAAAGGTGAATTTTTGTTTGCGCACCGTTCTGTTATTTGATGGAAAGCTTGGCAGATGTGGGATGATAAAAAGAATCATAAAAGAGTCATGCCAAACATTTGCATTAATTTATTTTTTACAAATAAATGAACTGTTTAATACCTACAAATGGTTATTTGCAAGTATATTTATTTATGCTGAAAACCTTACAATACAATCAAAACTCAATGGTTTCACCTCTGCAGCCTGATATAAGGCAGTAGTGGTATCAGTTTTTACTTGAAAATGTAGATAAAAAATATGATTCCAAGTGAAAAAAACTCTTTTCAATGGCTGTATTAAATTTTTAAAAAAATCATGAGAATTATTGAAATTCTAATAATGAAAATATTCAATATATATAATAGGCCAACAGTTGTGTTGCCTTCTGAAGGCAGCTGCTCATAGGACTCAAAGTTCTGGTTGCTATTAAAAACTGATTTCGTGTAAGGGGTAAATTTAAATTTAAATAATTTATAAGTTTTAGTAGAAGGCATCCCAATGTTTGTCCTACTCTATTTATGATATATTTTTACTAGGATCCGAGTTTGGCATCCTTAATTCCCAATTGTTACTAATTACTAGAAGCTAAATATTCTAATTAATATTATATTCTCAATTCAAATTTGGAATATCAACTTGAAGGTACAGCTATTTATCACTTGAATATATATTTTTGATATGTTTCAGCTTGAATATTAAGTAAAAATAGATATCACTGCTGCTTGTTATACAATTTAGACAAAAAAAACTTTGAAGGTAATCTGTGGTAGAAATCCTTCAAGTGCAATTTAGTAGTATTGATTTGTAGTTTTTGATTTGATCAAATTCTACAAAATGATTAAATGGTTTCTAAGAAAGATTCTGATAAGCATCACTAATAAAAGTATCCGGGTTTGAGAATTATATTCCTGTTATAGAATAAATTATGGACATGACGCTTATGACAATAAAATTATTATAAAGTAAACCATTACATCATAATTATATCTATTCACGCATCTTCATATGGTGATGGCACGATTATGCACAGCTGTAAATTATAATTATTTTATAATAAATAAATTACCATGATTTCTTGCTTTATGCAGAAGTTCTCAAACTTCTACAAAGTATAAATTGTTAAAATTACATTTTAATTCGCGTATTAGTAATGTGATTATTCTCTATATAAAGTCTTTTAAAACCTATTTTCACATTTTTCTAAAATTATAAAAGCTACAATTATAGTATTTAAAATTTGTATTGTGAATTTTATATCGAATGGAAAAAACAACTACTGAGTTGTTTTTTCCAACATGCCAATGTAGTATACAATGTCCCTTTTCGGCCGACTATTGTAAATTCATCAAATTTACTGAATGTCCTTTACTGGACAGTTGTAAATAAAAGAGTTAATAATAAAAAAAAAATTGTACTCCTAAAGATTAAAATAATCCCAATTGTTACACATATGAGAACTTGTTTTGTTGAATGACTAAAATCCGGTTGTAATTAAATACATCCGATCAGATTGTATATTAAGTTCTCTGAAAATTCAAACTTGTTTCAGCATTGACTGCAAAAATAAATATTATTCATAGATTAGATTACAAAAATATAAACTGCTATAGTACGCATGAGGTAAGTATAAGCATATTTCAGGTTTCAAATCGATATTGCAGCAATTTATTTTCAAATTAAATTTATAGAAAAGATTTTATGAGTATTATATTATAAAATCATGTATATAAAATTCAATAATGTTGAGATCGTTTTTTATAGGATATAGGAGTTACAGAAATGACAAAAAAAAAATTATAAACAAAAATAGTTCTTTAGAAAATTATTCATCATTTTTTTTTAATTAATTTATTTCTTTTGACCTCTACCAAAAAAAATATAAGAATGAATCAATTAGTCACATGAACATTGTTGCCAAATATATCTTTTACATTTCTCCCAAAAGCTTCCAAAAATCTTGCTTTATACAGAATGAGTATTATCGTTCTTAGAACCGAATAAAATGAAAATGAACGTGATTCAATGAAAACATAAATATGTATATCAGGCTAATGGTCAGAACTCAGGGTAGATATTTGCCTCGGGCAGCCTGATGTCAAGCAGCATTGGCATGAGTTTTCACTTGGAAATATAGATAGCAATATGTCTCCAATTCAAAGTAACCCTACCCGGCATTGGGAAATCAAAATATCATCAGTATTACAGAAATTGTAATTATAAATTCGTCATATAGAGAAAAGACAACCTTTTGGATTTTCATATATAGAGCCTCGTCGTTTGAAAAGTCAGTTCTTAAAAATATATATAAAATATAGCAAAATGACCTCAATTAATGAAGAAAAAAAATCAGTTAATACTAACAAAAATCTCAGATTAATAATCAAATCTTAATCTTCCGCACGACAAATCCGAGTCGATTGCCACAATGCTAAATATTTATAAATTCAAATAACCAGAAACGATTACTTACAGTTTGTGAAGTAATTATTATACCACATATTATGAGATCAACCTTGAATATTTCATATTCTAATTACATCATATTATAATAAAGTTCGTGTGGGAATTGGCAATTGAGTATTCAGATACAAAGCGATTCTTAGAACAATAATATAAACACGAATAGTTGACATGGAGAAGCTCAGGTTTTTTCGACTGGGATTTTGATAAAACTTTGGATGGTGATGAAGTTGATATCCAAAACGAACAACATAAAATAGTAATAAGTAATATTAGATTTTTTTGAGATAGCAAGAGAAACCAAATAGGAAGAATTAGCTTTGAATATTTTCTCATTTTTAATACCGATCAGGACCTCTGCCCATTAGCTAATGTGCAAAACTTTTCCTTTTCCTCAGTATTTTTATGGCAACCCAATGGTTAACATATCTATGTTTGATAGATTTTTTTATTAGAATTAATTTAATAGTGACCAAATATTATCTAATTCGATAAAGAAATATCCAAGAAGAGCTATTTTCAATTGAAAATATATTTTGGATCTATATTTCCAAGTAATATCCAATCTATATTTGATAGATTTTTTTATTAGAATTAATCTAATAGTGACCAAATATTATCTAATTCGATAGAGCAATATCCAAGAAGGGCTATTTTCAATTAAAAATATATTTTGGATCTATATTTCCAAGTGATATCCAAGAAGGGCTATTTTCAATTGAAAATATATTTTGGATCTATATTTCCAAGTAATATCCAAGAAGGGCTATTTTCAATTAAAAATATATTTTGGATCTATATTTCCAAGTGATATCCAAGAAGGGCTATTTTCAATTAAAAATATATTTTGGATCTATATTTCCAAGTGATATCCAAGAAGGGCTATTTTCAATTGAAAATATATTTTGGATCTATATTTCCAAGTGTATAGAATAACGTAAACACTCGATATTAGGTTGTTCGTAAAAATATATTATTAGAATAAAGTGCTTGGGTGCATATTTTTTTATTTATATAATGATTTGCAAGATAAATACATCACAATATATCTGGCACCATTTATAACCAATGTTATTTAAAATTAATTAATCAAGGTATGAGGTCAAACTAATTAAACAAGCATTAGTCAAAACATTAATCACGTCTTCGTTTTAAAATTAATAATATTTTTAAAACTGATGTATATTATATTTCAACAATGAAACTTCTTTGGACACTTGATATTGTTTAGGTCAATGGCTTCCGTGTTCTTGACCTTCTGTTTTTACAATATGCATAATTACCATGAGCATCTGTGTGAAATAATTTGTAATTAACCTATCAATTGTAATTATGTTATAATTGGATACAATTTTTTCATCGTCATTTTAGTAAACTAGGCATTTACTATGACTTGGACAAATCACTTGTCTGACTTGTTGGTTTGGCAATAATTTTAGTTACCATTGAAAAAAAAATTGACGGTATGAAACTATTACAAACAAAATAATATCGTCAAATGTTCATCCTTCACAATATAAAAGTATTATTAAATATCAAATATTGAATGTTATTAATTGCCAAAAATGCTCAATAATCATCGATCATCCGACACACCTATCCAACAACCTCATTTTAATCCATATGTCAATAATGGAGGAACAGTTCTTGCTATTGCTGGTGAAGATTTTGCAATAATAGGTGCAGACTCTAGACTGAGCAGAGATAATTCAATTTTGACCAGAAATCAGAAGAAATTGTTTCCGTTAACAAAACATACGGTATTGGCATCGACTGGTTGTTGGTAAGTGATGGAATAATCAAAAATTTGATATTATCTATTATATAAAAATAAGTCGGGTTTTCCTTCCTGACGATATAACTCCAGAACGCATGAACCGATTTCGACGATTTTGCATTCGTTGGAAAGGTCTCGGACTCCGTGAGGTTTATAGCAAAGGAAATTGACGAAAGATTTCAACAGGAAAGCGGAAAACACTTTTTCTTTCTTCACATACAGCGTCATCTCTGATACTTAGCATTACTACAAACTAATATTTTTTATTGTTTGATATACTCATTTGTTTGACTCATTGTTCTCTGCTCAGTTAATTTCATGTAATAAACCGGCATTGTGTTCACTGTAAAATTGTGCAAAAAATGTAAAAAAATAAGTTATTCGTTTCCTAACATTTCAATTGAAAACCATCAAATCAATCACGTGTACTGTGCAAATTTTTATTCAATTTCAACAGCAAGCAATTTTTTCTTCATCTTTTAATCACCAAACAAAATGTTACATAAAATGAAACCATCTGGTGGTGAAACAGAGTTCGCCTGGTTTACTAGTTAGCTATAATAAGAGAACTATATATTGATTTCTTCGGGTCACCTCAGTTTTCCAACTTGTTCAGTCAGTTAGTCTAGTAATGCTTATTGACAAAATTTAGAATTTCGGTGCAGAGGACCTTAGTATCAATATGAAATGAAAAAATGAACTTTAATATTACGAGACAAATAAAAGTTTGAAAAAAAACTGACTAGACCAAATGTTGGTTGATACCAGCCATTTGTCCACAAAAAGTTGAACTGGAAGACTTGGATTGAATCATTTCTTAAATATTTAATTATTAATTCATTTCATATATAATAGTTATTTAATTTCTTCCCTCAGGTGTGATACATTGGCTTTAACAAGTGCTATATCAATTAAGAAAAAGATGTATGCATATGAACATAAGAAAAATATGACTACGACAAGTATTGCCCATTTAATATCAATGATGATGTACAGCAAACGGACATTTCCATATTTTGTGTATAATATTGTTTCTGGAATAGATGAATTTGGAATGGGATGTGTATTTAGTTATGATGTTATAGGTAATAATAGAAAATATGAATGAAATATTGACTCTATAAAAACACTCCTCATTTTTAAAAGTTTCTATTGAGAGAATTGAAAGTAGATCATCATAGCAGGTTTTAAATACCTCATAATTTCTAACAATTTTTGAAATATAATTTATGACTATTTTTCCTAGGGCATTACGATCGTGTGATGTACTATGCAAGTGGTTGTTCTGGTCCACTACTTCTGCCTCTCCTGGATAACCAAATTGGAGGAAAACATTTGAACAAAGAAAAAGATGAAGACATTCAATTGGCCACAAATAAATCAGTTGATGAAGTTTTATCAATTGTCAAAGATCTTTTTACTACTGCTGCTGAACGCGACATATTTACTGGGGATGGAGTTTATATCAATATCATAACTCTAGATGGCATTGAGGAGCAATTTTTCAATCTGCGTCAAGATTAAGTAATTCATAATGGAATAAATATTCTAAAAATTTAAATATATCAGTTCGGCATAATTCTAATCGTCTGTCTTTTGAGTTTAAGTAGATCAACCGTATTATCAATGTAAGAGTTCAAAAAGTCATTTTTAATTTCTGGGAATCACTATATATCTATAATTTGTACATAAACTATATCTTGTCATCAAGCGTTAATTTTAATACAATTTTCGTATGTGGAATGGTACAAATTAAATAGTTATAAATCAATTATTAATAACTCGATGTTAAAAATTATCATAGAATGTGATACTAATCTAATCCTGATTTAGATTATATAAAATAATTTATAATTTTGTATATTTCTGCTCTAAAAGCCTTTTTTTAAATCGTTTATTATCTTCTCGAAGGTGAAATTTATGTTTTTGAATCGTTTTGGGATCAAACTTAGAAAATATTATATTAATTATAAGAATTCAAAGTATGGATGATTGGAAATTAGATGGATTAGTTTTTAACGAAATTAAATTATTTTTGAAATTGATAATTGTAAATTTTATCTGAATAGATAAATCTCAATTCGTATTGATTAAGATATTATTTACATATTTCTGAAAGTTCATGCTACTTGGAGAAGGTATTCTAATGTAGGGGCATGAAAATAAGGCCATTTTTAAATCATTGTAAAACAAAAGAAAATCGATTTTTTACTATCATTTTTTCTATACAATATTTTCCAACGTTCCAAGAGCACAGAAAAAAAGTAAAGACAAAAAAGTTAATCATTTTAAAAATTAGCAGTTGTTGAAGTGAAAGTCCCAAAAAATTGACACGTGACCATGCCTACCATTGCAATCCTTCTAGTAATCCATAATGAAAAAAAAAGATTATTTATCTAGAATGATGTCGCAATAGCATATACTAGTATTAAGTTAAAATAAATATTTTTGAAAAAAAAGGATAATTTTTCTTACAAATTTTTGAATATCACAATTTTATTAATTTAATAAAAATTGAATTTTGAGGACGAGGCTAGTATATGCCAGAGAGAAGTTTATAAAGAAGATTCTCTCAAAATTCCATGTGAATCATTTCAGTAAAACTCGAGAAATCGTGGACATCATATTGAAAAAGACAGTTTTGAGAAAAACGAGTTTAAAATTTCGCAAAAGGAAGAAAACAGAAGAGTATTATCATGGTTAAACAGCTGTATCTCCAAAAATAACTTGAATTTCAAAAAATCCTCGCCTACATATGTTCTTAGCTAACATTTGAAATATATTCTTAGTTAACATTTGAAAATATGGAACAAAAGAAAAAACATTTTTTCAAATTTCTACACTAGAATACCCCTTAAAGCAAAATGTTTAATTTTGCTTATTTTTTTCTTTTTCTTTCGGGGATACTGGATGCACCCCTCTTCAAAAATATTGAAAAATTCAAATATAAAATAAACCGTGTACATCTATAGTTCAAAGAATTATCAATTACAAATTTTAGTGAATGCTCAATTTAATTTTTAGGGAGTGTTATAAATATTACCTATCTAAATATATACAATTAATATCTAAATACCAATCCCAATAATTTTAAATAATATAAAATTACTATTAATACGATTACACACTTAACATAATTTGTCATTTAACATAAGATCAATATTCCTACCATTAACCATGAATAAAATCGCGACGGCCGCAAAGGCGATCACTATAACTTTTTGTCCGAACATGTTTAACACTTAAGATCACAAAATGACGACTGGTCGCGGATGTTCAAGGCATTCTTTATATACTTGTTCCAAGACCCAACACCCCACTAACCACAGAAAGCAAATATATACATATAATGTAAATCAAATTCTCAAAAATTTATTCTGAGAAATTATCAATGTTTTTATAATTATAGGAAATAATTATCTCTCTTTTAAATAATAAAAAAAACAACGCTCGTTTGTAGGATATCTATTATTAGATAAAACGACCATTCATTTGTCAGTAAAAAATGCTTTTTTAACATTTTTTAACTTTATTTTTACTAAATTTTTATTTATTTAGATTTTACTAAAAAAGTGTTGTTATACAACCATGAATAATACTAGACAAGACCTACCTATTTAATATTATCTTTATTATCTTTTCTAAATTTTATTGACTATTTCATGAACTGCAAATATTTTTGGATTGGTTTCGCATAAAGATGACATTTTTATATAACACTTTCCTGGAATTTTTACATATTTTTTTATGTGCAACCCATTAGATAATTCAATATTCATTTATGTGTGAATGTGAGTCAAAATTTGACCTTTTGTCTCAAAATCTGATGCATTGACTTCAATAGTTTGATGAAATTTGAAAATTCAGTTTTCCACGAAGATTAACCGTCCGATTATTTATATTTTTGAAAATTCAATTGTAAAATGTGAAAACTTTATTTTTGAAATAAGGAGTTAAAATTTTAGCGTCACAAAAGTTGCTAGTTAAGCAATAGATACACATAGCTTTAATTTAACAATTATTTTTCAAAAATATGAAATAATCTATTAATTGTGGGTATTAAGGATAATGAGGATAAATAAGGATTATGCTCATTTGTAAAGGTAAAATAAACAAGTTTTCCAAAGCAAATATAGAAGTTTAAATTTGTGTTATCTAAAGTTATCTAAATATTCTTATAAATTTCATTTATTCTTGCAAAAAAACAAACTATATTAATTACAACAAAAGGTCCATCATATTATAAAATCAATAATTAAAGTGAGACCCACAGTTAGTATTTTTCCTAAGCAAATAGGCAGATAACTATACAATTTCAAAGAAAAGATAAACACATCCCATTGGATAAATTCAAACCTTTTATAAAATTTGTCAAGTTAAGCTAATTGGCTGAATTGAAAAGACAACCATATTATAAAATCAATAATGAAAGTCAGAAAAAATAATCACATCTCATGGAATAAATTCAAACCTTTTATAAAATTTGTCGAGTTAAGCTAATTGGCTGAATTTGAAAAGATAACTGCTGAGTTGCTTAAGAAAAAGATAATTGGTAAGATACTTATGTATATTTATAGCTTTTAATGGTTGTGAGACGTATGTGTATAGTTAACAAGCAAACACTTAATAAAATGAGCAATTGTTGCAAATAAATAAAATTCGATGTATCAAGTTAAATCAAATTCAGATTCTACATAAAAACAAAAGCTACAGCTTAATATAAAATATAATCCATGTTCTAAATACATGAAATATATATATATAAACTGAAGCTGAAATCCTCGCAAAGGAACAAGCTAGGTGTCGAGATCTACAACAGGGTTCCCAATGATAATGGAATTACTATATATATGTATATATATAAATATATATATATATATATATATGTATATATATATATATATATATATATAAACTGAAACTGAAATCCTCGCAAAGGAACAAGCTAGGTGTCAAGATCTACAACAGGCTTCCCAATGAGCGGAAGTGTAAAAGCAGGAATGGTTTCAATGCTGCCGTTAGAAAACATCTTATAGATCAGCCTATCTATTCAATTAATGATTTTTTTAATCCAAGTTAATTATTAATTGTCATTAGGTTAATCCTACAGTTGTTCATAAATATAAATTATATTATTTTAGTTATATTATAATATTGTGATAAAAATAATAATTGTATTGAATTAAATAGTAAATATTGCAATTGAATAAAGTATATATATATATATATATATATATATATATATAATTTTCAGATTCACTTACATTATTCTTTCGTCTTCTGTAGTTCTAAAAATCACTGATTTGGTACAATGAATTGTTAAGAATCGATCTTTGAATTCTAAGATCATATTTGTTCACTAGTTTAATATTTATATTAATATTAATTATCAAAATTATACATATTTACTATACATTTATTTCAAGCTTTGTCTTTTATATTTTTCGAGTACTGATTACTTAGAACTGTCACATGCCTAGACATAATTAATTGACACTTGATAAATATTTAGTATTATGAAGTTGGCAATAAACTGAAATTATTATTTCTGGCGCCTATTACAATTTTATTAAAGTTTTTATTAAATATCTTTTTAAACTAATTTAAAATATTATTTGTTATTACAAAATTATAATGCTGTAAGATTATTTTCATAATACCTTCTAACAAGCTCTCATTTTGGTGATATTTTTTTGGGATAGTTATGGCAATACTGAAAATTAGGTAATACTTGCCTTATGAATCAGAGTCAAAATGATATTTGCGATTTATCATCAGTAGGTTCGTCGATTTTAATAACATTACGCTCGCTCTTTAGCAAATTTGTACATAGTTTTAAATAAAAGTTTCAATGCCTCAATAAAAGCTATCAATTGCATTTTATACATTTTAGTGCGTGTGAAAAGTGTAAACAACAGATAGTGTTTCTTTTGTGATAAAATATTGCCCTACGTGTGTCATTTTGTAAACATTATTACTTTTCGATTTACCTTCACAAACTATTTATGGATGTGGTTTCAGAAGTTTAAATGAATTGATATTGTATCATCGTGTTGGATTGCATTTGATGAAATTTCATACCCCACCTAAGCTACGAAATATTTGACAAAATGAAAGAATAGTCGTCCAACACAACAAAAAATAACGCAAACAAAATTTAGTCTTCCGAAGTTTTAACAATAAGAAATTTATTGTTTTATACTTGCAATATCCTAAAATTTCTTCAAAATTTTGGAAAATGTCAATATAATGATATGTGGTGATATAATTTACATGAAATAATGTAAATAAGTATATGTAGGAGACATTTTGAGGAAATGCTGGGATATCTTTTATGACTGATAACGTTAATTTATTTTAAGAACGAATTCTATTGGGCATTAAATTGTTAGAAATGGCTGGAAGAACTCCAAGATTGAAAATAATTATAGAAACATTGACTGGCACACTTTTTGAGCTTCTTGTGTCGCAACAGGATACAGTCCTTTCAATTAAATGGAGAATATACAGAATAGAAGGTATGAATTTTCAATCATTTACACTAATATATCAATCAATTTCATTAATTAAATATAATTACATTCTGTAGGTATCCCAGTCTCTCAACAACACTTGTTGTATAGATTGCAAGAGCTTGATGATTCGACAACATTGTCCACGGCCAAAATAACTGAAGGTTGTACATTAAAATTAGTAGTTTCTATGAGAGGTGGTCCAATCGCTACAAGAAGAACGTTGAAGAGTCCCAAAACTGATGAGTCTTGGATAGACTGTAAAGATTTGTTTGACAGGTATGGTTTCTTAATCATAAATTCTTACCTTAGAAGTAAACTATTGTAACTGTGATTTATGTAGTTTAATTGGAAGAGTATACATATTCATATATTACTTAAAATCGTTTTTCATCTTCTATTTGTGTTTCTATTGTAACTCTTTCATTAGTAAATATTTACATTTCGAAAATAAAATAAACTTTTCTCAATAATAATGGAGAATTATGCTTTTACATTTTGTTTATGTTTAATGTTATAAATGAAAACTGTTATTCTGAAAAATTCTATTGTGAAATTAACATAATATCAGTTATGATAATTTATCTCTGATAGTGCACACAATATTCATTGCTTGAACATATTTTTAAAAAATAATTTTAGCGATGAAATTAGAAAAAGTGGAAAATATCGTTTAGAATTACATCATGATGGTTCAAGTATGAGCATATTTCGTATTGCTAGGTCATATGACACGGACTCTTCAAATCCAAGTGATGATTCACCAGAGGGTGCCTATGACAATGATTGGGGTTTGGATAAAATGCAAGAAAATATTTGCACTTTCACTAAGATGAGAGATTTGCGTAAGAAAATGGAAGCATTGCAATTAAAAAGAAACAAAAATAGTACTGTTGAAAAATCATCCACAACTGTTAAATTAAAGCGACATAAGTTACCATATGGTTCCAAAACAAGTACTGAAATTATTAGTGAGGAATTGGAACTCCTAGGCCTTGTTTCTAAAGGTGGAAGTAAGCCTATCAGAAGAGTTCGGAATAGTGTAGCACAAGCTACTTACATTATAGGTGTTAGTTCAAACAAGTCCTCAGATATGCCTTCAGCAAGAAGACTTCGTGAAGATTCTGATTCCTCTGATGAAAGTCGTGTAACTCAGGTGAATATTCTTTTTTCAATGCTCTATCTAAAATTAAAAATCGTGTTTTTAAAAAGTTTGATTATGTAATAATCTATGTATGTCAATAATGTTTTTAGATCAGTCGAAGACATAAAGCTGAAAGAGTACCAACACCGGAGGGTCTTGTTACAGGTGCCGGTCCTGTTTGCTACCAAAATGAGGGCGAACTTAGTTTAGAATTAACATTGTCAGATGATCATGAAGAGCCTTTGAAACTACTTCCAACTCCATGCCCTGTGCCTTCAACATCAACAGGAGGTAATAATCATTAATAATAAAATTTATTAATTTGTTATTGACTTTCAAACATTAATGAATAAATACAATTTCAAATGTTATCATTAATATCTGATCTATATTAATTAATCCTAAAAAAAATAAAGTTATATATCGAGATTACAGCACTTTGTGTGATATATTTTATTAAATTTATGTGTCATCAGAAATGATTATGATATTAAGTGCAATTGTTTTTTTTCCTTTCATCAAAAAATAAATGTGTGCAAATAATATATTTTACAAATACCTTTTTCTCGCTTTAGAAATAATATTATTTTATCAATATGAAATTTAGTGTATTATTATTTAATATTATTGAAAAAGTGTTAGTTTAAATTTAAATTTGAAAATAAAATAATAAACATACATCTGAATATACGTATTTTGTTGCAGATAGCAGTCGTTATCGCCTGTCCTGTTTATTGTATCCTCCAGGAGATTCTCCTAGACCTCAAGTAACTCCTGAAGACCTGTCAGCGAGGGATGATACTTTAGACACTTTTAGTATGCAATTGGAAAGCCCTAAGTTGCACATGGAAGCTCCTGTGTCAACTAAAATCAACTTATCAGACTCCATAGAATGTTTGGAAATAGGGAATCACAAAGGATACCCTAATCTTAAAAGCATTTCGCAATATATTCAACAAAATTCTAATTCAAGCTGTGAATTAAGATCAAATATCCAGGCATCTTCACATGCAAGGTATGAGCCCCCGCCACTTCAGAGATCAAATAGAACTTATTTCCAAAGCAATCCAGCACTGCATCAATTGAACAATAACATTCATAACACACAATGTTCATCCACATCTAACCTTGATAAAACAAAGGATGTTTATTTTAATGATGATTTTCAACATTCTTGTAGTACATCAAATTTAGAAAAGTTGAACTCCAAGAAATTTGAAACACCACAGTTGACGCGACATAGCAATACTGAATATTTGGACTATACTGGTAGTTATGAAAACTTGGATAGAGTTCGCATACCAAAACGAAAAGTGAATATGTCTAAGAACAGGGGACTTAATAGATCTAGTGAGTGTTTGTCAAAGATTAATGAACATTCTCACATGCACTCGCCATTAAATTCTCAAAGCAGATTTAGTAGAAGAAATGTGCATACTGATCGAGTTAGAAGTTTTGAAGGTCTAAATTGCCTATCTTGTGAGGCTCAGCCTTTGCTGAATAAAGATGAACATAAAATTATAAAAATGCCAAATACTTCAATATTTAGAGAAGAAATCGCACATCAAAAACAGTGTTGTTTAAAACATACCAAAAATAAAACTATGGTACCTACTCCCCTGCCAATAATTCATTCTACACCACAGTCTAAATCTTTACCAAAATTGTCTTGGACTCCCGGCGGTTCTTTAAAAAGAACACAAAATAGTACACTTGTAATTTTTCAAGCGCCAACCTTAAAAAATACTGAATCTAACTCTTCAAATCATTCTGTAAATCCATCAAAAAGCAAAGAGAGAACCTCAGAGAAATCACAACCTGAAGATTCTGCAGAGACGCCAGCAGGAGAACCTGTTGCAAAGAAAAAACGAATGAGATGCAAGGTATGCAAATAGTTTAAAATACGGTTTACCAATTGTTATTTTAACTGTAATAATTAAATTGTTGTTCAAGATTATAGATATATATATATATATATATATATATATATATATATATTATAGAAAATAGTAATTTGTTTTACCTTGTAGGTTTGTGGTAAACGGCTCACAATAACAACAGCCATGGTATGCAGATGCGGTGGGACATTTTGTGCACAACACCGCTATGCAGAGACGCATAGTTGTACCTATGACTATAAAGAAGAAGGTCGCAAACAAATTGAGCAAGATAATCCAGTTGTAACTGCACCTAAGCTTCCTAAAATATAACGTATCATTAATTATATGTTATATTTTGATGTTTTTTCTTTGTGATAACAACTGGGCCATAGAAAAATAAATTATATATCTAGTTCGCACAAACAACCAAAACTAATGATGAAAAATGTATTAACTAAATTTCTCAAAATAAAACTATCAGTTTGTTTTCATATAGAAATTATAAAATGGTTTTAACAGAAGTTTGCATAGATTTATAATAAATAAATTAGTTATGAATTATTAAGAATTAAATATGAATTAATAAATAAAATATTCAGTTATGTAAGAAATTAACATGAGTTCATTATTGTTTTGTGATTTATAATTCTTATTTAGTTATTAAAAAAATTTAAAGCTTTAGTATTATAGTTGTTGATATTGTTTAAATTTTTAAGAATTCCATATAAATCTTATGTTTTGTTCAGAAAGAATTTATGTTTTTCAAACAGAGAGGTGTTATTGTTTATCCTTTGTTGCAGATACAAAGACCGTGTTGTGAGGCATAATTCTAAACATTTATGTGTGCACTAAATCACCATAAACTAATTATATTATACCAAAACAAGTCATAGATAAAAACTGTATATTTTTTTAAAATTACATAATGCCTATAAAGAAAATGTTTACTAGCTAATATAATTTATAAAACATAGCATTATTATTAAGGAACTGTTATATTATCTAAATAATAATAAATATAAAAAATATTAGTGAATATATCAAATATAAATAACGCCAGATTGATGAAATGACTTTGATCATGTGACTATCAATGATATGAAGCAAAATTAATTTGAAATTTTATTGTATTAGCCACAAAATACTAATTTTGCTAATAAAATATTTTAAATAAATACTGTTTTGACTTATTATTAAATATCATGTTAAATATAGTTTAAATATATATATGGAGGTTTCTTCAAAAAGCAGTGTGTGATGACAATAACAAGTTTTATATGATTAGATTATAGAATATAATTAATAATTAAGTAAGAATTTCTCTTCACGTTAACAGATATTCCCTGTATAATTTTTTTATAATTGTAATTTTCAAATCTTAATATTAATTCCATATTAAATTAGGTCAGTTATCATAAATTACAAATGTATCAAAATGAAAATATTTTAATTCAAAAACATACTAATTCTGCACAATTCTACTTTTTATGTATCCGTATATAAACAGTTTATAAAAGATAAAAATTCTGAATTTTCAATGGCAATATCAATTACAATATGTACGTACTGCACCTGCTTTTAGAAAAAGTCATAACTTTTTCGTAATAATAATAATATCACTTATAATGACTATCAGCAATTAAGTGAAAATGCCAGAATTGCAATAAAAAATGCAGCTTAATGAAAACATGGTATATGTGTCTCAATTAAGACTTAATTTAAATATAAAGGTTATACAACATTTATATACATGCAAATAGGAATAGTTTTAAAAACTATTTACTTGTTTATGTTTAGGAGTAAATATAATTTGTATTGTTAGATATCGAATTTCAGAAAACATTCATAATTACCAAACCATTTTTTATGGTATCGGCTCCAATAAGAAGTGCATTTAGAGTTTGATAAAATGAACTTTCTAAATCATTCGAATGTATTGCATGATGAAATTGGTATTTTAAGCGCTGCATGTACTTATATGCAGCACTTAAGATACATATACGTGTTCATAAATATCATTAGTATTAAACCTATACGCAATATATTGCGTATTAATATATAAATGACTATCAATTATGTAACACATCATCATACATACGTGAACAAATAGTTTCTCTGTTCATTCAGTCCATTCTGTTTCCACAAGCAGTGCTTCAAACAATTTTACAAGATTTTCAACTCCGGCCAAATAGTTTTTATCCGGCCCGAATTCATTAGTTGCCGGAAACACGTGAGCAAAATCTATCATTTTCACAACTGCCCAATTATCACCAGGCGTTCCCGACGCTGGTGCATCTTCAGTTGCTATCAAATCATCAAGCATGCTTTCGTAATTTCGTCTTATATTTTTCATGTCGTTGTCATAGTTATGTCTGAACGAATGTGTTCGTTGAAGACCACGGTATTTTGTAGGAGAACCGGCTATTGCTGTGGCTGGATTTGATGCTGCACTAAATAAGATTTCCGGAGATGAAGGTCTTCTACCTGGTCTAAATAGGGGGGCTCCTGTGGGACTTAATTGACCGCTAAGAGCGCACGATGAGCCGTTCATCGATAATGTATCTAAAGGTTTCGTATGCAGGCGCAAACTACCAGAACGTCCTAGACGCACCCTGCAGGTAAAAATAAATTTTGGATTGATATTCATTAACCATATAGTATATTTATAAATATTTCAATTTATAAGTATTTATTTAAAATAAATTTTAATATTTTTACATTTGACCGACCTGTTTACTGGTTTTGGTACTGGTGGGCGCGCTTCCAACTCTTCACGAAGGCGTTTTGCATCGTAAGCCAACAGCAGGCTGCTGCTATAAAGGCGGAGGTCAGTCTGAGAACGCGCCCATCGTAAAACTCGCCACAGTCCGGCCAGCAATTGAACCAGGAGAGCACGGCATAGTTGAGTATCGTCTGGTGCATTTAAAAATGTACGTAACGCTGAAAACAATCAAATATAAAAGTTATTTACAAGAACTTTGTCTCATGAAGCTCAATGTTAATCATAAATATATCAAATGATTGCTTGTTCTTAGACATTTTTCAGTATTAAAGTCTTTCTAATTTGAAAATGAGACCATCTATATATAGATGGTTTTTCATCCGTAGTATATATACTAAGGATGAATATTTTTGTATTCAGTGGATATTCAATTCAGATTGTACATTGCGACCTATATGTATATTAATATATTATAAAAATTATTAATAAAAATTCTTTGAGAAAATCTTATCTTGAACATAAGATTAATAGTATTTTCACAAAAGCATATTACTTTATTGTCACAGATCCATGGATTCATAATACAAATATAATTGATATTTTCTTCTTCAGTAGCAAATTTGATTTTTGATTTTAAAGAATAAATTTTTATTTACATTTTCCTATCATGAATTTATTACCTTCTTTAACAGATTCTGGGCTCAACTTTTTACCATAGTCTTTACCAAATCTTCGTACCCGTCCGGTTTTAATAGAATGTACTTGGAATCCAGGAATGCAAAAACTAAGGGCATTTTTGCAGGCAGTGTACTTAGACTGAAAATAAGTAAAAAAGAGTTAGTATTTAAAAACTAGAACATATAATTTCCTAAATCCGTAGCATGAATCTTATTAGCACGTGCTAATTGATTCAATAAGCTTTCAAACGAAACATTGAGCAAATTCAACGACAATATTTTTTTGTCAAACCAAACTAATTGAAACAATTTAGCACATTTTCATAAATGTCGTGTATTGTTTTACACAGAACAGAAATTAAATCGATACTGCTAAAATGATATTCAAATAAACTCTTTTTATTTGCAAACTGATAATGATTTCTGCAAATAAAACTCTAAAATTATCAACTCGCTTGTTGCTATTCGAATAATGAACGCAGTTAACGTAATTGAAAACAATACATGTGTATTGATTGATCCACGTGCTACCAGAAATAAAAATAATAGAGGCTAAACGATTTAAATAAAATAAATAGAACATATGATTGATGATTATGATGTAATAAAATTCATACAAACTACAATATTATTTTGAATATAAAAATATTTGAATTGCCAAAGTAAAAAATTGTAAAGTTATAAGTGTCTTACAACTGTTACTAAAGCATCTAGTTATATTTTTGAAAAAATACAATAGAAAATCGATCAAATATAAAAGTTATTTACAAGAATTTTGTCTCATGAAGCTCAATGTTTATCATAAACATATCAAATGATTGCTTGTTCCCAGAGCCTTTTTTCGTATTAAAGTCTTTCTAATTTGAGAATTAGGCCACAGATGAATAATACATTAATTTATTATAATAATTATTAATAAATATTTTTTAAGAAATTCTTATCTTGTACATATGATTAATAGTATTTTCATAAAAGCATATTATTTATTGTCATAGATGAATGAATTCAATCATACAAATGTAATTGATATTTTCTTCTTCAGAACCAAATTTGATTTTTGTAATTTCAATATTCAACATCATATTTCAAAGAATGAATTTCTATTTACATTTCCCTACCATCGATAGAAAATAGAAGATAGTGTTTTCAATGTAAAAATTAAAAATATGCAATCAAAACACATAATAATTAAAAACAATAGTGATAATAATAATAATAATGATAGAAATAATAATATTATTATTAACATGGATAAGAGAGATAATTAAAAAAAATAAGAATAATAATAATCTAATAGTAGTTATTTTGATTATCATCAAATAATAAAAATAATAAAAATAAAAGTATATCTCCAGAAAGTAAATAATTATAAAGAAGTTTTGTGAATTAAAAACAAAAAAACATTTAATATAATAAAAACTGTTTAAAAATGTCAGAAGCTTAATTAATAAAAATATCATTTAGGCAAATAGTCTTAAATAAAATTCATAATTGAATCTTATAGGCAAAAAATGGAGTAATAAATAATTTATTTAATAAAACATTATAAAAATAAACAATACTTTAAAAAATAGAGAACATTTTCTAATGATTTTCACAAGAATTAGTTATTGTAATGCATAAGGGGGCGTCCATTAATCACGTGAAGTTTTTAGGGGGATTGTGGGGAGGTTTGACAAAAAGTTACGAAATATCACATGGGGGAGGGAGGGGTATAGTAAGATATCGTGTGTATTAATTTTTAACTGATTTTTTAAAAAAAATCAAACATTTTCATTTTTTTTAAAAAAAAATCACAGTTTTATCGCTTAACTTAAAATATATGTGATGTTTGGATGGGGAGGAGGGTTATTTTGAATATCACCAAGGGGGAGGGAGGACCAAAAATCCTTAAAAATTCACTCACGTGATATAGCAGAATAATCTCATTCATTAATAGCAAGTTAGTAAAAAACAACCCTAACTAGTTGGTTTGGTATTTAGCCTTGAGGCAAGTTACATGAACTTCCCGATATGTTTGAATAATCGACTTAATCAATAAAAAATGAATTAACTTATGTGTGAT